CCTGTTCGATGAAGCCAAAAATAGTGGGTGTCACCTGGGCATTACGGTTTGTGCTATTGCTCTGTATACGGGGCCCAGGGCCATTGATTTCTCTGGAGCGACGTCGGGGGTTTTTCGCACGACGGGCACCATATTGGCTGGCTGCAGTTTGGCGACCTCATTCGCCAAGATTGTCTTGTACCGCGTCCTGTGCAGTTTGGCGCAGACCTTCCCCTCGCTGTACATTAGGAACGTCGTTGACGACGTGTCGCTGCAGCTGCTGGGCACTGCCAAGTTCGTTGTAGAGAATCTCTCAGCAGCGGGCATCCAACTAAGACAGGGGTTTGATGACTTGGAGTTGGTTGTCTCGGGGAAGAAAACGGTCTTCTTGGCGTCGTCTCAGGAAGTTTCAGGAGGTCTCCAGAAAGCTTGGAAGCATCTGAAGTACACGATGAAAGAAGTTGTCAGGTCTCTTGGTTGCGATGCCGTATGCAGAAGGATTCGTAGGAGTGTTACTTCACTCAAGCGTCTTCGAGGTGCAGCTCGGAAAGCTCGAAGGCTCTGGAAACTTAAAGTGGCTGGTGCGGAAGTAAGTAATGTGTACAGAGCGGGGCCTCAAGCGGGAGCTCTATGGGGTACTGCGGTAGCGGGCCTTGCGGCAAGCCAAGTACACACACTAAGAGTAGCAGCGTGCAAGAGTTTGTCCAAGCATAAAGCTGGTGCGATCACATCATGCAAACTACGTGCGCATGATGGGGGCAGAGCCATGGACCCGTACGTCCTGTACCATGCCAATGTAATACACCAATGGGCGCGTGCAATATGGGATGGCACACCTCCTTTGTATGTGATGCAGTAGGTGTTCGAGCTTGCGGTGGATGCAATGGCTTCTACGCGCAGGCCGTGGCTGTGCGCAACATCGCCTGCGCACGTCCTGCTGCTCACGCTGTCGGAAATAGGTTGGCGGCCAGTCAGTGCGAGGATCCTGTTGAAAGCGGACGGTGGGAAAGTTGACCTCCTCCAGCTTGCCCCGCTGTCGGTCAGGGATCTGGCGGAAAGAGATGCAGGACACAGGGCTGATGTGAAAGGTTTGAAGTGTCGACCGTGCCTCAATAAATCTTGGGTCCGACCTGTGTTTTGGGAAGGGGCCTTGGAGGTCATCAACGGGGCCAAAAATGAGGTATGGCATGACCACCATCAAGCGTGTGCTCGTAACTGTTTCTCCATGGGCACCTGGACGCAACAGAGACTCTGCGATCAGCACCTTGCTCCAGACAATGTGTGTCGACTCTGCTTAGGTGCCCCAGGAACCCTTTTCCACAGGAGATTCGAGTGCGCCGCTTTCGACGCTGACCGTCGGGAGCACCTCAGCGACGAGACCAAGCACGCAGCCAGATTAGCATGCGAGCTCGGTCAAGATCTCGAGAAGTTTGCTGCAGGGCTGATGCCAGATCCGCGTGAGATCACGACCCCAGCGTTATCGACCAGTGAGTGCCAAGTGTTTTGGTTTAATAAGCCAGCTAGTGGAATGTTGTCGGGTCACCTGTTCACTGATGGATCGGCCCTCGACCCCACCTCTTCCAGGTTCCGTCGAGCTGGATGGTCGATCTGTGCGGTGGCTGCTAATGGTGACCTCATCTCTGCTGCATATGGACCAGTGCCAGTACAGGCGGCACCGTTCCAGCAGGCACGGGACGGGGAAGATTTTGCGCATGTGATGCTCGCTGATATAGCTGCGGGCAGTTTTGAAACCTACACTGGCTGTGAAGGGACCCTGGGGTGCGTTTGGGATCGACATGCATCGATTGGCTCGAGTAATCCCAGGGCCCATATGTGGTCGCGTGTTTGGCATGTTTTTGAAGATGGAATTGTGGCCCACAAAACGCTGGGGCACGCCACGATGAATGATATTCTGGAGGGCCGATCCACTGCCTTCGAGAGGCAAGGGAATCGGCACGCTGATAGGTTTGCCAAGCTCGGCGCGTCCAAGCATCCTGACGTCTCTCCGGCCAAGGTGCAAGTAGGGGCCCTCCAGAGACTCCAGGAGGAAGTAATTCGGTGGGGAGGGGTCCAGGATGTCCTCATGAACCAGCGTTCGTGGTCGGACTCAACTGGTTTCCCTGAGCCCACTAGTGTGCAGGATGGCCTGGCCCCGACGCCAACCTGGCATGCGAAGGCTAAGAGACAGCGGGCCTTCGAGCGCAGTTCCTTGCAGGCGGCTGACCGTCTCGGTGTGAGAAGGACCCTGCTGAGTTTCAAATCTCCCCTTTTTTCTGACACGAAGGCTAGCGTTTCCAGTGCCAAAGCTGTATCGGAGAGCCAAGCTCTCGTGCTCTTGCAAGGTCACAACCTTAAAATGTATAAGGTCTGGGACGGGGCGGGAGCTCGGGTGGCGGGGAGTGGTTGGGTGATGAGCTGTATCAGATGTGGGGGCTACGCGTGGGGCGGGGTAGACACGTTGTGCAAACCTTGCCCCACGCAGCCCCCCACGAAGGATTTGAAACAGCAGAGGAACCGTCCTTTTAAAAGCCTCTTCCCCAGCTGGGCCAAGCAGTACAGAGGGTGGCGAGTCAGTGACCAGAGGGCGCCGCTGCCAGCTGACCTCCTTGCGCTGATTAGAGCCACAAGGAGGGGAATCCAAGTTTTGGAGGATGTGGAGGCTGAGGACGGTTCTGTTTTTGACTCCACGTGGGGTGAAGCTTGGACGATTCCAGAGCTATACTCCAAGTTCGGCTTGGTGCCGCCCGCTGGTCAGGAGCCCCCCCTGATGGGAGAGGAGTCAGACTAGCTCTTTTTTGCTGTTAGGGGTGTCTGGCATTGACAGACACTCCCAACGAGAATAGAATAGAATAGGAGGAGGAGGAAGAGGAGGAGGAGGAGGAGGAGGAGGAGGAGGAGGAGGAGGAGAGGAGGAGGAGGAGGAGGAGGAGGAGGAGGAGGATGACGAGGAAGGGAAGTGGAGAGAAGAGGGAAGGAACGGAGGACTGAAACGGTTCACCCCGAGGCCTCGTGCCCAACCCGACCACCTGGCCCCTGTCGTCGTCGTGCTCCCCTTCGGCCTTCCCAGGAGGCCTCCGGAGGTCCCTGGAGGCCTCCGAGGGCCCCGGAGGCCTCTGGAGGCACCCAAATTTCCAACAAGAGCCAACGACATCGTCCTCCTCCTCCTCCTCCTCCAACTCCTCCACCTCCTTCTCCTCCTCCTCCTCGTCCTCCTCCTCCTCCTCCTCTTCATTCTCCTCCCCCTCATTCTCACTGCCGCCTCATCCCCATTCGTTCGTGGGTCGTGCAGTCCTGGCCTGGGTCCTCTGGTGCGCTGGGATGCGCTGAGTTCATGCTTCTTGCAGTGCCGTTGCCCTGCTGCCTCTTCTGTGCTGCCGTCGCACCCATCGGAGCGCGGAATCGCCAGCAGTGTCGAACAGCTGCCGCGAGGGGCAATACTTATCCCAGTGCGACCCTACCTAGGATTTGGAGCCTCTAGGAAAGCAACATCAGTAGGAACGGTAAACGCCGTCCTCCTCCTTCTATGCTATGCTCTGCTATGCTATGCTATGCTCTGTTCTGCTATGCTCTGCTACGCTGTGCTATGCTATGCTGCGCAATGCTATGCTGGGCTAGGCTAGGCTAGGCTAGGCTAGGCTGTGCTATGCTATGCTGCGCTATGCTATGCTATGCTATGCTATGCTATGCTATGCTATGCTATGCTGCGCTATGCTACGCTACGCTATGCTATGCTATGCTATGCTATGCTATGCTGCGCCATGCTATGCTATGCTATGCTATGCTATGCTATGCTATGCTATGCTATGCTACGCTGCACTGTGCTATGCTAAGCTACGCGATTCTATGCTATGCTATGCTATGCTATGCTATGCTATGCTGCGCTATGCTATGCTGCGCTATGCTATGCTATGCTATGCTGCGCTATGCTGCGCTATGCTGCGCTATGCTATGCTATGATATGCTATGCTATGCTATGCTATGCTATGCTAGGGCATGCTAGGCTGCGCTATGTTATGCTATGCTATGCTATGCTATGCTGCGCTATGCTATGCCATGCTATGCCATGCTATGCTATGATATGCTGCGCTAGGTTATGCTATGCTATGCTGCGCTATGCTATGCCATGCTATGCCATGCTATGCTGCGCTATACTACGCTATGCTATGCTGTGCTATGCTATGCTGCGCCATGCTATGCTATGATATGCTATGCTATGCTGTGCTACGCTATGCTGCACTGTGCTATGCTAAACTACGCTATGCTATGCTATGCTATGCTATGCTATGCTATGCTATGCTATGCTATGCTGCGCTATGTTATGGTGCGCTATGCTATGCTGCGCTATGCTATGCTATGCTCTGCTATGCTATGCTATGCTATGCTATGCTAATGCTGCGCTGCGCTGCGCTAAGCTGAGCTAAGCTAGGCTATGCTAAGCTAGGCTAGGCTACGCTAAGCTAAGCTAAGCTAGGTTAGGCTAGGCTAAGCTAAGCTAAGTTGAGCTAAGCTAGGCTAGGCTCAGCTAAACTATGTTAAGCTAAGCTAAGCTAAGATGAGATAAGCAAAGCTAAGCTAAGGGGACGTAACTGGGGGAACCGCGGGGCGGATACTGGGGGGAACCGCCTGGGGCGCTTTCCACTGCCGGGCCCCTTTAAGCCCAGAGAGTAAGAACCCTTCCAGGCAGAGCCTAGGTAGGGAACAACCCTAGCTTTCGAGGTGTGCCCTGTTGTCCTTAGTGCTTGGGCTCTCCACACTGCAGTGCCCTTCCAGGTGGATCTGGGCCTTCTGCGAAGGGGCTCGTGTTCTTTAATCAATGCCTGAGCTTTTGTATCCACGTTTCGGTTGTATCCTCCTCCTCCTCCTCCTCCTCCTCCTCTTCCTTGTACGCTCCTCGTGCGTTCTCGTCCTTCTCCCCTCCTCCCCGTGCGTCCTCGTCGTTCTCCTCGTTCTCCTCCCCCCTCTCCGCCCCCTCCTCCTCCTGCTCCTCCTCCTCCTCCTCCTCCTCCTCGGGGGCAGGGGAGGCCCCGAGACCGTCGCTGGTCGGCTCTGCGTCGGCCGCGGTGGCAACCGCCGCGTTCCTGGCTCGCCGCCGCCCGCCCGCCCCTGCGAGCCTCGGGGTCGCGGTGCAGGTGTCGTCGGCGGCGGCCCCTCGCGAGGGGGGAGGTCCTCCTCCTCCTCCTCCTCCTCCTCCTCCTCCTCCTCCTCCTCCTCCTCCTCCTCCTCCTCCCTCCTCCCCCACCACCTATTGGCGATGCATCGCCGTTTCCAAGTCAATGCTTATCACCCTGAGCCAGTCACCCCCCGCGTATTGGTCCCCTTCAGCGTGGGCGCTGGAGGACCCCCTCGGCCGAGCCCCGGTCGTGCCAGCTAGAGTGTCGGCGTTTGGGAAGTGGACGCGCTGGCTTCGGCCAGGTCTGGGGCCCCTGGCCCCATACTCCCTCCGATCGTGTGCCCCACTCTTGCCGCTGCGAGCGCAGCCGACGTCGATAGCTCATGTCCGCGTGAATATGCTGCTGATGTTCATGCTTTTCTTTTTAACCTCCCTGTTCCCCCCTGCTTCTGCTCCTCCTCCTCACCCTCCTTGCTTACCCTCCTCTTCTCCTTCTTCTGCCTCATCGCATCATTCCCGACCCCCTGAGTGGGGTTCTTGTGCTCTCTGCACAGCCAGCGCAATAACCTCACACTTCCCTCCCATCATCATCATCATCATCACCATCATCATCATCATCATCATCAGCATCATCATCATCAGCATCATCATAATCATCATAATCATCCAAAAAAACAAAAATAATCATCACCACCACCATCACCATCACCATCACCACCTCCACCATCACCATCACCATCACCATCTCCCCCATCACCTCCATCTCCATCACCATCACCATCACCACCTCCACCATCACCATCACTATCATAATCACCATCGCCGTCACCATTACCATTACCATCGCCATCACCACCATAATCACCATCTCCATCACCATCACCAGCACTGATTGAGCCGTATGCAGGATTTCTGACGCATGGCGATGCTCTGTGCTGTTTTTTTCCAATGCCCAGCAGCCCTCCAGGGGCGCGGACCTCCGCACGCCGGCCCTCGCACGCTCGCATCCATCACCATCACCATCATCATCACCATCATCACCATCATCATCAGCATCATCATCATCATGAGCAGCATAATCTTCACCAGCATCAGCACCAACATCATCAGCACTGCCAGCATTACCATCGTCACTACCATCACCACTACCACCACCACCATCATCATCATCGTCATCATCTCAACACCTCATCATCATCACCTTCATCATCATCATCAACATCATCATCATCATCATTATCATTACCATCATCATCATCATCCTCACCACCACCATCACCACCATCATCATCATCATCGTCATCTTCAGCACTGTCATCGTCATCAGTATTATCAACAGCAGCACGCGTAGCGTAACCATCAACAACAGCAGCACTATCAGTAACAGCCAAAAAGCATTAGCAACATCACCAACATCATCATCGCCACCCTCATCATTTTCACGATCATCATCACCACTACCATCATCATCATCGTCTAAATTCATCATATCCATCACCAACACCACCATCACCATCAGCAACATCGTCATCGTCATTACCATCATCATCATAATCACAAACATCATCATCAGCATCGTCCGCATCATCATCATCTCACCATCTCATCCTTTCCAACATACCATCGTCGTCCTTCTCATCATCACCAGTGTGATATCATTATTAGATGCATCTTTCTCATCATCGACAGCATCATCAACACCATCTCCATCACCATCAACAGCAGCATCAGCACAATCATCATCGTCAGCAGTAACAACGTCAAGAACAATTTTAACAGCATCCTCATCATCATCATCTTCATCACCAACATCATCATTGTCGTCACCATCATCATCACCATCATCATCACCAACATCCATCGTAATCACCATCATAGTCATCAGCATCTCCAGCATCAGCATCGTTATCGCCACTACCACTATCATCATCATCATCAGCATCATCATC